TCTAGCTTGTGATAAGCTCAGATCCGTACCGCGCCTGTCTCTTATACACATCTAGATGTGTATAAGAGACAGGAGAGAGAGAGAGCAGCCACGTGGTCGTCGTGGACTGAATCTGGGGATGTGATTGACCAGGTGCATGCAACTGAGATATCCTGATTTTTTTTAATCTTTTTTTATCTTGTCTTTTTTTCTTTATGAATACCTTTATCTTTAGGGTTTAGGTTAATTGGTCACGTAATGTGGCGTGATTTGCTCTTATGCCTGTGTAGGAATCCTCCAGGCGCACAGGGCCAATCAATGGCCAATGAATGGGTCATGGACCTGTCTGCATTAAATTGGGAAGTCATCCAGGTGCATTCTGGCCTGGGTTTTCTTTTAGGGTTTAGTACTGCCTCGATTGGAATAATGCACTTTTGGTTGTGCGCAGGTCCAATGCCACCCGTGGCATTGGCATCACGACCTGTTTGCACTGGGCTGGGAACTCGTCCAGGTGCATTCTGCCAACAGACAGACATTGTAGCAAACCTGTCAAAGTATGGAGGCTATCCTTCTTTTTCCCGTCTCAACTTTCCACTTTTTTTTTTTTTTTTTTCCCTATGTTCCCCCCCCGCCTCTCTCATCCTTGGCTCAGGGACCATGCTAATTTTCTCTATATAGTCCCAATTTTTATTTTATTTTATTTGATTTTTTTTTCGTTCGTTCCACTTTCAGCATGTGCATTAAGAGAGAAGCGTTGGCCATGATTTCCTGGGGCCATAGGAACGGGACTATTGATTGGCAAGAGCGAGAACCAAGAGGTTCTGGTATTATGAAAAAAAAAAAAAAAGCCCAGCTCCAAGTGGGACCAGGACGGGAAAAAAAAAAAAAAGCGATTAAGGGGGGGAAAAAAAGCAAAAAGATTGAAGAGAAAGACTAGAAAAACAGAAATAAACGAAAATGAAAATTAACCCAAAAAAAAAAACAAATGGAACGGAAACTTCGATTTACGCATTGGAGTCGTGACTTGGGGGGGGGGGTTGGTTGCCACCTTCTTCCCCCGAATACAACGTACGGTCATTATAACTGTATCTAGACTGAAAGATACCTCAAATACACACAGCTATGATGACCGTTCGTTGTATTTTGGGGGAATAAGGTAGGGTTGCGCTTATGCCTTGTTGTTTTTTTTAAGGCATGTAAGAACAGAAAGTGAAGGAAAAAAAAAGGCAATAGACGAAGAAAAAAAAGTAAGGAGAACATCTAGCAGCACCAGGGTTGAAAACAAACATAACAATTAAGGGGGGAAAACAAAGCAAAAAACTTGAGAAAAAGATGGGGGAAAAAAAAAGAAATAAACCACAACGAAGGATTGGGGGGGGGGGAGGAAGAACAAGAAATGAAAGGGGAAAAAACACAAAACAAAAGACGGAAGGAAAAAAAAGTAAGGAAAACATTTAGCAGCACCTGGGTTGAAAACAAACACAACAACTAAGGGGGAAAGAAAACAAAGCAAAAAACGTGAGGGAAAAAGAAAAAGGAGAAATAAAGTTAATAAACCACAACGAAAGAAGAGAAGAATATAGAAAAAAAAACAAAAAAACAAAAAAAACAAAAATAAGAAACATAAAACACAAAACAAAAGGGTTGTGGCTGAAAATCTTACAGTGTTAACCTAAACCTAAATGATGGGTAAGGTTAGGTTTGACTGATGCCCCCCTTTTTTTTTTCCTTTTTTTTTCCTTTTTTTTTCCTTTTTTTTTTTTGAGAATTTCACACCCATTTTATGGTTGCAAGATTTTCCAGCAGCCGTCTGAGGAAAGCACGTGGGCTGCGTTCAAGGTGCCAAATGCTCATTGTAAATTGAACACTGGGCCCTTTTTAACTAAGCAGTGACCCCCCCCCCTCCCCCATTCCCCTCCCCCCAAAAAAAAGGGGTCCTTGGAAAAGAAAGCCACCGTTTTCACCTGAGTAGAACACCCGGGCGTCGCCCTATATCTAGACTGAAATTTGCCCCAAATACCGGCGGTGAGGATGTGTCACAGACCGCTTGGTAGCTGGCCTTGGACCATCCGGTGTATCCGGCGTGGTTCAAGAAAAAATGCTGCTATTTTTACCCAGTCAGAGCGCCCGGTCATATTATTTCTACATCTGGACTGAAATTTGGTCCAAATACAGGTATATTGAGCAGGCGTTCTATTCAGGTGAAGATGGGTGGGGCTGCTGTTTTTACCCAGATAGAGCGCCCGGTCATATTATTCTTACATCTGGACTAAAATTTGGTCCAAATACAGGTGTAATGACCGGGCGCTCTATTCAGGCGAAGATGGGTGACGCAGTCGGCTGGCCGTGGAGCATCTGGTTTATCTGGTCGGGTAAAACATGCTACAGTTGTTGTTGTTGTTGTTGTTGTTGTTGTTGTTGTTTTTTATGCGTGTCATTTTTGCGCAGGGGCCATGCTAATCTTCTCTGTATCGTTCCAATTTAACGGATGTCCCGAAGGACTACTACAGTTGTTTTTCACCCAAATAGAACGGGGAAGTCTTTATGCCTGCATGTAGACTGCAAGTTGCCACAAATACGTTTACAATGGCCAGGAGATGCGTGGCACAGAGGGATATCCATATCCAGCTCGCCTTGGACCACTTGGGCCCAAGTCCCACTTAACCAAATCCTCAATTTCTGACCGTAGATTCCGAAGATAAGCGTTCAAAAATGAAGCGTTGGCGTACGTGGGACTTGGCCCCCGGCCTATCCAGCTGCGTAAAAAGTGCGGCAGTTTTTCACCCAAATAGGCCGTGGACCATCATTTTCCCTGTATATGTAGACTGAAAGTTGCTGCCAAAACGCTTATACGTTTACAATGATCAGGCGTACTATTCGGGTGAAGATGGGTGGCACGGAGGGGGATATCCATATCCAGCTCGCCTTGGACCACGTGGTTTATTCTTTCAGGAACCGTGGCTGGGTAAACCTGGATTTGGAACACGAGTTCTGCACAACAAATTTGCGCAGGGCCCAGAGTTGTAGTTGTCATCTGGGCCCATGGGGATAGGATCTGGATCCCAAAGGGTAGGGAATGGAGTGAAGGGGGGGGAGGAGATGGCTAAACGGACCACGAGTACTGAATCATTTGACCACCAGTCGGGAAGAGCATATGTTGGACGTACGGCGAAAAACAACATAGTCCTCTTTTCTCTTTCTTTTTCTTTTTTTTTTCTCTTTTTTCTTGGGAAACTTTGTCTAGCGGCCCTGTAATTTCCATTATTTTGTGTTGCGCCCCTCCGATGGCCCACTTACCCTGTCTTGCCCCTCTATCCACGATAACCATTCAAATTTCCCATAAATCCCCGGAGTCGGCCGGGCCTGAAATAGGTTTGTTATGCCCCTACCTCTACCCGTTCCAGTATGCCCCTACCGGGTAGCCGTGGAGTACCAGCACCAAAATTTTCCATATGCCCCTATTGATAGGGTGCATGTTTTTGGCGCACGTCTATTGCTAAGCGCATTGCGGCCATTTCATTTCTCTCTCTCTCTCTCTTTCTCTCTCTCTCTCTCTCTCTCTCTCTCTCTCACACACACACACACACACACACACACACACACAC